GCCCGTAGCTAGGGGGGTGCAGGGGGTGCGTTCGCCCCCCCGCGAGCTAAAGGTCCGCTTTTTAAGCAAGTGAGATTTTGGCTGGTATGATATTTTCACGTAAAACTAAGTAAATAAAAAATCAATTTTACTTTAATAATTTATCTATACCTATGCGCGTCCTATGGGACTTTAAAAAAATAAAGTATATGGTTGGTCCACTTTTTGTAAATTAGCACCCCCCCAACAAAAATTCTAGCTACGGGCCTGGCATTAGTGAAGATTCGTCCCTGCATAATGAAATGATGTTATTGTTGGCTCGTGCAGGTAATATAGTCTGCGTTTTATTAATTTTTCATCGTTGCCTGCCTTTTACCGGTAAGCGTGGTATCTCTTGGCACATCTCTGTTGTGTACCGGCAACTTGATGACAAGCTACAGTGGCAGGGATTCGTTCATGTGATTCAATCGTGCAGCCAAGATAGCCCAGCTGTTGTTTCTATAATGCAGGATGTGCTTCGAACCTTGAAGCAAGAACACCCTGAAATCAGTAAGGCATACCTCCGCCAAGACAACGCTGGGTGTTATCATTCGGCCACAACGATCCTTTCATGTCCAGAAATATCACGATCTACTGGAGTAAAAATAGCCCGTCTTGATTTCAGYGATCCTCAGGGAGGTAAAGGAGCGGCAGATAGGTTGGCAGCAACATGCAAATCACACATCGCGTGTATATTAATGAGGGAAATGATGTTGTTACCGCCAAACAACTAGAGAGTGCCATCCTTTCCAATGGGGGAGTAAAGGGTGTTCGAGTCGTTTCACTGCAATCCATTGCTAACTCTCAAGAGACCACACAAAAGATCCCAAACATAAGTAAGCTTAACAATTTTGAGTTTCTGTCTGGAGAGAAAATTAAAGTATGGCGTGCTTATGGCATAGGTACTGTGAAAGTCATCAGAATTGAAAAGCCCTCGACTACAGGTAAATGGATTACTGAGTTAGATTTCTTGCCATTTTCTGCCACTTAATTTCTTACCCTTTTCTTTCAGAGGCCAATCATAAATGGCTTAGCTCGTCTTTCTCACCAGGAGAATTTAAATATTTTACTCCCCAARCAACTCGCAAGACCCAATCGGAGACGCTAACCGAACCCGCTGAGAAGAATGTTGAGCCGGAAGATATGAGTACAGACCATACCTCCCAAGCACTCTTCTCTTGCCCACATGATGGTTGCTTTCGTTTTTTTCAAAAGGTCGGGAATTTAGGAAGGTACTTGACTTCCAAAAAAATGTACTAGGGCCCTCCAGAAGCACTCCCTTGTGGATCTCGCAGAGATGGGATACAAGTGCGAGCTAGAAGAGGGTGTTAGAGTAATACCAACTCTCCAAGCAGCTCCAGTTCAAGAGGGGAAAACAAGCGTCGCCCCTGTTAGTCAAGCCTGGGCTCTCAGAGCAACGAAAAAGGCGTACCGCTTTAACAAAAACCAAAAATCGTATCTTTCCGCAAAATTCCAAATTGGTCTGTCGACTGGGAGGAAAGCCAATGCTGAAGCTGTTGGTGTGGAGATGAGGCGAGCGCGTGGTCAAGGTGGAGAGAGGCTCTTCAAAGTTCCAGAGTTTTTGAGTACTCAGCAAATCGCCTCCTATTTTTCACGCCTTGCAGCCAAGATCTGAAAGCAAACACCATCAGAGCTTGACCTTCACGCTGTCGAGGATGAAGAGCATTTTGCAGCTGCCACAGATAAAGCAATAGAATCCATCCATCTGCAGCATCCTATTGTCTTCGATCATTAGAACGTTTGTGCCATGACTGAAGATAATACCTTAAAAAAATCTAAAAGTTGGAATGTTGCAGCTCATATGTGAAAATCTTGGCCTTCAAGTCCCTAAACCTCCGATTCGTCGCAAAGTCCCTTATTTGGAACTATGAAAGACGTGTTTAATAATTGTACCTGTCAACAATGAGTTTCATCGTAGCTTACAGTCAAACACATCCATGTATTCTTGTAAGGCTCTTAAGCAACTCGGAGCCAAGTTTGTAGATGTTCTAGATCCAGCACTCTAATTGTCGTTGTTCAATATAAAAAGAAGAGAAGAGAAGAGAAGAGAAAAAGAAAAAGAAAGAGAGAAAGAAAGAGATAAAGAAAGAAAAAACAACCGGAAAGACTGGAAAGAAAGTATGAAAGAAAAAATAATGAACGAATGTATAAATGACGTCAATTTCCACTTTTGTACAAAATAATTCAAAAATATTATACTTCGTTGCTGAGCGCGTGCTGCGTTTCAGCTAAATCATCTACGAAAATTTGTTTTCTCAGGCGGTTTCATACACTTTGCTCATCAAAATTTAATATGTAAATCAAATAAAAGGCTTAGATTTCTTTTAAAACACTCCTAAAGCTAAAGAATACGAAAAGAGCMATATTCATCATGTAGTGTCCTCCAGCTCTCGAGTGGTATTTCAAGTTATGGGATAAAAAGAGATATGTTTTAAATAAAAAAGAGTCCTTGAATAATTGCTCAATCACAAAAAGGCTAGTATTGCAATTCTAATTGGAATAGTAAAAAATCATTAACGAAGTCTCRACATTTTAAGGAAAATAATGGATGGGCTTGACTAAAGTTTTCAAATAGATAATGATTGACTTTTTTGGGGAAATTAATTCAACTTGTAGTGACAAAGCATGCTCCGATTGTCACTCCACAGTCTTGCCATCCGTTAAAACAGGGAAAATGCCTAATGATATTTGGAGTTAAAGAAACTTGCAATATCTGTTCAGACCAAGTAATCAAAGTTTGGTGGTTTGGTAACTGGTAAGTTCGATAATGATTTGGTAGAATTCATGTGTTTACTGGAGTGCCATTGACAGCTCACTAGGACGTTAAATGTTTACATGCATGTCTCAAGACAGTCATGGTAATAATTCATCAAAAACCGGTTCAATAGTTTAAAAACCGGCTAAATTCATAGAGCATTTGGTATCTCAGAGTAGGAGATAAATCTTTTGCATTGGAGAAGAAATCTAGCTAGAGACACCGACGACGGGGTGCATTTGTCCTGACCCCAGATTGTGTGACATGGTTTTAAGCTCAAGCTGCGCTCGATTATCGTGGATTAACACAGAGGACCACTTGATTGAAGAGTATTTACTCTCTAGTTATGCTATTTATACTCTTGGCAAACCATCTTAATACAAAAATTT